AAAAAAAAAATGTGGGAGGAAGAGAATGACTAAAGTTATAGGAGTAGATGTTATGTTTTTTTTTTTTTAAGATTTTATTTATTTGACAGAGAGACACAGCGAGAGAGGGAACATAAGCAGGGAGAGTGTGAGAGGGAGAGCAGGGAGCCCGATGCGGAGCTCGATCCCAGGACCCTGGGATCGTGACCCGAGCCGAAGGCAGACGCTTAACTACTGAGCCACCCAGGTGCCCCTAGACATTATGTTTTTAGAACATGGAGAAATAGAGAGAGAAGGCAGAAATAGATGTGTAAAGAATATAGCTCCTCCTGTAGGCTTAAAAATGGGGGTTTAGAGAGCAGCTAACCATTTGCTTTCTTCACCAAAATAGCCCTAAGAAGGGAGCCAGGTGTTGCAGACGGCCTTGTATCTGTGTTTTTCCTTTCGCCCTTTTGTGAACTCTCAAGGTTAGTCAGTGATTTTCTTCACACTTTCATTAGGAAATTTGCCAAAGGCATCCTTTTGAGGCAGCTGTCTCTGTACCCTTGGAGGCCATCAGTAATGTTTCCGATCTATAGGAGTTGTCGGCACAGAAATGTTGGACTGAACTGAGTCTTCGTGGTTTAAAACATTCCCTTGCCAAAATTACTTTATTTCCCCCTCGAATCGTAGTACAAAGTATATCACATCCTGGGGCTTCTGGTCCTTTTATAGTTTTTTGTTATTGTATCTTTTCAGGTAAAATCCATCATTAATAGTAAATATATCTAAATATATTAATAATGAAAGGAGACTTAGGTTTTAAAACATAATTTAACAATAGTGGACACATTAAAAATCCCTATATATAAATAAATGTGAATTTTTATATAGAATGTTAAAAAATTTTATTTTCACTATTTAGATTTTGTAAAGTAAATTGGTGGTATTCTTTTGGTCTGAGGTGGTCAGGTGATATCTTCATACTAAGATAAGTTTTTGGGGCATATTAAATTTGATGTAAATAATTAGTCTATGATTAAAATGCATTTGTGTTTTTGTTTCTGTTCACTTTAATAATATAGGCAACTGTTATATGCATCTTTTAATATATTAGTCTAACTGTTTCTCTTGTTTTACTAAACTGTCTTCTTTCAGCCACCCACACAGAATATGCCTATGGGTCCTGGAGGGATGAATCAGAGCGGCCCTCCCCCACCTCCACGCTCTCACAACATGCCTTCAGATGGAATGGTAGGTGGGGGTCCTCCTGCACCACACATGCAGAACCAGATGAACGGCCAGATGCCTGGTAAGTTTTTCTCCTCTAAGACATTAACACCAGAGTTGCTTAGCAACTGAAACGACATGGGGGCTCAAGGGATACTAGATTGTTGATGACAAAACTGCTTTGAATGCCCCCGAGTACAAGCTCTCTTAGAGTTTGTTAGCTACAGAGCTACGTGACCTGTATTCAGTGTTTATCAGGCTGCCCTTGGGCTTTGATGTAGCTGACACACAGCATTCCTCTGATGAACAGAACTGGCTAAATTTAGTCTGTCTGAAACTATGCAATACAGCTGGCTTTAGAAGCTTTTTGGAAAAAAAGGCATTGCGCCATGACTTAAGAATTAAAATCTCTTTATAGATTATAAAGGTACTATAACATTTCCCTCAGGTTTGGTATTTACTTAAAAATTTACTGGTCCCAGAAACAGTATTGCTGGAAAAAACACATGGGGAAAAGAAAGAAAATCTGTAAAGTGCTAATATATTTAGTATTTCCTCATTGATAATATTGAAGCTGAGTATAGATTTTTATGAATACACATGCTTATAGCATAATATAAATATGGAAATTGATATTAAAGCAGATTTAAAAGAAGAAAAATAACGTCAGATGTTTTATATAATGAGATATTCCCTTTACTACTTACCCATTTTAAGTTTAGAGCCACTTAGAATATCTTCTATGTCATTGGATGCATAATTAGTTACCTTTTGCTGGTTTGAACTTTTAATCTGAGAAGTATCTTTAAACTGTTTTGTTTTTGTAACAATAGCTACAACCCGTACCCATAATTTTTGGTGGGTTGTTTTCTGCATTTCGTATGAGAATATTTTTACTTTCTAAAGACAACGGCTATTTTCATTAACTAAAAGGAAGTATTATACAAATAGGAATAATGAAGGTAAATTAAAATAACAAAACAGTTCATTTTTAAAATTAGTAATTAGCATCCTTAGGATAGTGTTGTCTTACCTGATTGTGTTGGTTGGTAACATTGGTGTCCAGAGACAATGGGTGTAGGAAATGAGGTGAAGGAGAGCACAGAGCAAAAGAAGCCAGGTAACCTGGTTTATAGAAGACTGATGTATGATTGATTGATCCTGTAGGAGGTTGAAGGATAACTAGAACCAATGACTCTCTGGAACAAAGTCTGGAGGCAGGGGCCGTATACCCTTCGGTACCTTTTGACTTTGGTACCACAGATTTATTATTATCGAATTTTTAAAAAATCAGTTAAATGTTTTTAAAAAGGAACGTGAAACTGTGGTAGAAGGAATGTGGTATTCATTTGGTAGCCATCTTGTTTCTTGCTGAGACTTGCCACAGTCCATGGTCCCCACAACCCACACCCTGTGTGGGGGTGGGAATAAAGACGTAACTACTTGTTAGGTTGTAGTCAGGAGGATGTTTCTTGCTGAATTCACATTTAGCTCATCAGGACCTGTTGTTACTGAACTGGAAGGGTAGTGCTAATGCATGTTAGCAAGTTAGGAGTTTTGTGACTTTTTATGGTGGTACTGTTAATGTTAATTAGAATTTTGACTTAACTTCTCCATGTAACACTTGAGCCTAAGGCCGAAGAAGCACTTGAGCAGCAATGTAATTACTGTTAACTTGACATTTGGGTTTTTGTATATGGCCATTTGGAGTAATTATATTTTTTATAAACCAGAGATTTTTAACTAGTTATGACCTACGTTGTCCAGAACATTGTAGAGCTTCCAAAACAACTCTCTTAGAAAGAGTTCTAGTTAGGTGTAGAAGAAATTGAAGTCCAGGTACTTTGTTTCCTTTATGTAATAAGCTCCTTAATAGAGCTTAGCCAACTTTTTTATGCACACAAATTGGTATCTAGGCTTTTAATTTCCTATTTTAGTTTTGTTTTTTAATATTTTCTTTTTTTTTTTAAGATTTTATTTATTTGACAGAGAGAGACACAGAGAGAGGGAACACAAGCAGGGGGAGTGGGAGAGAGAGAAGCAGGCTTCCCGCTGAGCAGGGAGCCCAGTGCTGGGCTCGATCCCAGGATCCTGGGACCTGAGCCGAAGGCAGATGCTTAACGACTGAGCCACCCAGGCGCCCCGTTTTTTAATATTTTCTAATCTAAGTTGTAGAGCTACTTACATGTTCCTTGATCTTGGTCAAATAACCACAGTTTCACGTTCCTTTTTAAAAACATTTAACTGATTTTTAAAAAATTCAATAATAATAAATCTGTGGTACCAAAGTCAAAAGGTACCGAAGGGTATATGGCCCCTGCCTCCAGACTTTGTTCCAGAGAGTCATTGGTTCTAGTTATCCTTCAAGAGATATTCTCTGTATCCAGAACATATGCATAACACTCTTTTTTCTTTTGTCTTATTCTTTAAAAAAAAAACACAAGTTGTAATATACATTATGTAGTATTATATATAATATTTTTTCTCTCTTAAAGATAGATCTTAGAGACCATGAGTATATATATATTTTGGAGACCACTCAGTGCATAAAGAGCTGCCTCATGCTTTGGTGACTGTATTTTATTCTTTTTCGTGGGTGCCCCTGATTTATTTGACAGTTCGTTATGACGGAAATACAGGTTATTTCTAGTCTTCTTGTATTAAAAGTTATGCTTCTGTGAATATGCCTGTAAGATAAAAGTAAACTAGTAAATAAATAAACACACATATACAGTTTTGCATTCATGCACTCGTACACACAAAGACCTGTATATTTATAGAACTGCAGTTGTTGGGTTAAAGGTATATGCATTTTAAAATATGGTAGTTATTGCAAAATTGCTCTATATAAAAATAGTGCTTATTTATATATTTATATACCTTAACAATGTGTGAAATTACTTCATAGATCAAAACTTTGGGTCTTTGGAATCTGAAAGATGAGAAAAGGGTCTCATAGTTTTAACTGGCCTTTTCATTGTAAGTGAAGCAAGCAGTTGTCTCATGTTTATGTCCCTTTGGTAGTTTTTGTGTGAACTGATTATTCATGTCCCTTGCCATTTCTTTTATTGCTGGTGGTCTTTTACTTACTTTATATGTTAAGTAATTAGTTCATTCTGTGATAGGTCTTGTTAATAATTTTTTCCCAGTTTTTCTTTTTATTATTTTGTTTAGTTTGGTCTGGTTTGGTCATATTTAAATTTTTTATTTTCATGCAGTCTAGTTTATCAGTCTTTTATGGCTCTAGGTTTTCTGGCATATAAGAAGGCCTTTCCACTTCAAGATTATTTTAAAAGTTCTCCTTTTTGAAATTCTCCTTTAAGATTTTTTTCCTTTTTCTTTTGTAATGTTTAATTTTTTTATTTATCTGGAACTATTTTTGGTAGAAGGAATGTGGTAGGCCGTTTTCCAGATGGCTACTCAGTGGTCACACTATTTATTGAATTGTTTTTCTTTTGCCTACTGATACTTAATTTCGGCACTGTTACAAAATTAGAAATTTGAGTGTGTTTTTAGACTCTACTGTGGGCCCCTTGATCTGTGAATTCATTTGTGTGCTAATACTACACACTTTTAATTACTCCAGCTTTATATGTTTTGCTCTCTTATAAAGCTAGTTCTTCATCATTGCTTTTCTTTTTCAGAATGTTGCTGGCTTCTAAAAGCATCAGTTCCTTAATCTATAAAATGGGAATAGCATCTGCCTCACAGTATTTGCTGTCATTCATGTAAAGCATTTACTTTGTTTGCTAGTGATTAAATACTCAAGTTATTGTTTGGTATTATTATTATGGTATGCAAAAAAAATAAAAAGCTTGAGTACTTTTTAATAGATCATCTGTTTAACTTTCATATTTGGTTCTGACCACTTTTCTTCAAAGGGCCTAACCATATGCCTATTCAGGGACCTGGACCCAATCAACTCAATATGACAAACAGTTCCATGAACATGCCTTCAAGTAGCCATGGAGCCATGGGAGGTTACAACCATTCGGCACCATCATCACAGAGCATGCCCGTACAGAGCCAGATGACGATGAGTCAAGGGCAACCGATAGGAAGCTATGGCCCCAGACCAAATATGAACATGCAGCCAAACCAAGGTAAATAAGCTTGATGTCATTCTTTTTTTTAAAGTTTTTTTTTTTTTAATTAAAGATTTTATTTGAGAGAGACAGAGAAAGCATGAGCAGGGGGACGGGCAGAGGGACAAGCCGACTCCCTGCTGGGCAGAGAGCCCCACACACGGGGCTCCAGGTGGGGCTCCAGGCAGGGCTTGATCCCAGGACCCTGAGATCAGGGACGCAGCTGAAGTCAAACGCTTAACTGACTGAGCCACCCTGGTGCCCCTGATGTCTTTCATTTTTTTTTTTTTTTTAATATTTTATTTATTTATTTGAGAGAGAGAGCATGGTGAAGGGGGGAGCAAGCAGACTTCCAGCTCAGCAGGGAGCCGGACTCCGGCTGATCCCAGGGCCCTGGGATCCTTACTTGAGCCAAAGGCAGATGTTTAACCAACTGAGCCATCCAGGCGCTACAGCCCCTGATGTCATTCTTGACTAGTAAATGAAACTTTTTTTTCAAGTTGGTAGCTGATTCATGAAAATAAAAGTTTGAAGTGAGTCATAATCATAGCCATAGAAAAGGAACATTGAGTTTGAAACTAGCTTAAAATAATTTTTTTTTTTTTACATTTAGAAGTTTGCTTAATTAAGCTTTTAAAGCTTATTTATCTTTATGTCTTTTGGACAGTTTATTTGAGATTCTTGGATTTTTATTTAAGAAAAATTTTTTTTCAAGCTAATAAATGAATAACCAAACATTTGATTTAGAGCTAGAAAGTTGAGAAAATAATTTTATCTTTGCAAGTACAACCCCTTAAAAAACCTTTACTCTGTGGTTTATGTTACTTCTTAAGGATATATTAATTCATATGAATTTCCCTTGATTTTTCTGAATCTTTTCTGATGTTGTATTTCAGCATTAAGAGGTAATTTTAACATAATTTGTTTATTAGAGTATTTGGTGGAGATGCTGCTATATTCTTCTATTCTTAGAATGGGGTGAAGTCTATTAAAGTTTATTACCAATCTCAGAGAATGAAATTATCATCATGTTTCTTTTTTAAGTATGCTTGTGAATAATAACTAAAAACCAGTAAGTGGCGCTCTGTTCTGCTAATTGCCCTTTAAAACATTTGGCATATTGCCAGCCTAAAGCTATTTCAATTACAAAATGTGAGGTTAATGCAATAAAATTTTCTAGATTTTGATTTTGAAAAACAAATCACTAAAGTACACCCAGGTAAAAGAAGTTAAGGTTAATTTGTTGATAATTATTTATGATGAAATAATATATTCTAATACTGAAATAATAATACAGAATTTTTTGTAATTTTGATGAGATACACAGAAAACAAAGAGACAGTAGAATAAATTGTCAATGTAGATTCACAAAACTGGTATTTGCTCCATTTTTTTCCTCAAAGTTGTTTAGTGCCCATGATGGATTTTTTTTTTTTTTTAATTAGGGCAATTAAAGGTTCAAAATAACAGCAAGATCCAGTCGGTGCCAGGTCAGAAGGGAGTCCAGATGTTTCTCTATACAGTTTGGTTAAAAGGAGAGAGAGCAAGGAAATTGGTAATGATTCTCAAAGCAGCTACAGTAATGAGGGCACACTACTTAGAAACTATCATGAAGAAAAGAGTAGGGTGTGCACAAGAATGGATGTTGCTGTAGAATGGGTTGATATGACATCATAAGATTTGAAGAACCAAAAAATAATGCATGCAGCAATGTATATGTAGAAAATAGTAACTTTTTGGAGAAAGGAACTGAGGACTTTTTTATAGGACTTTTTTGTTCTAAACTTAGGAACCATCTACTTTTAAAAATGTCACATTTTGTATTACTAATGTACAGTTTTTCTTTTTACTATAGTAGTTATAGTGCTTTTTGCTTTGTGTAATCTGTGAATTTCTTAATAGTCATTTTCTATATAATCTCTTTTCTATGTAGGGATCTGATTTAAAGAAATAAAAGTTACTTTTCAAAAAAGAATAGGATGAAATCCTGAGGAAATTTTCAAAATTTAAAAAATCTTTTCAGGGGCACCTGGGTGGCTCAGTCGTTGAGCGTCTGCCTTCGGCTCGGGTCATGATCCCAGGGTCCTGGGATTGAGCCCCGCATCGGGCTCCCTGCTCAGCGGGAAGCCTGCTTCTCCCTCTCCCACTCCCCCTGCTTGTGCTCCTGTTGTCGTGGTCTCTCTGTCAAATAAATAAATTAAAAAATCTTAAAAAATAAAAAAAAAAATCTCTTCAGGACAAATAAACTTTGCGGTTAAATTTTGATATTTCAGATACAGAAAACACCAAAGAAAATTATAGTTGCCAAAAAAGAGAGAAAGTTATATGAGGTTGTAGCAATATCTACTATTTTAATCCTATGAGTTTCTTGTAAAGCTATTTTAATTATATGGTATCTATTGGATGAAAAGTTTTAATATTCATTTCATATAAAACATTCTCTTAGGGGCACCTGGGTGGCCCAGTCGGTTGAGTTTTTTAGCCTCTGACTCTTGGTTTTAGCTCAGGTCTGATCTCAGCGTTGTGAGATCAAGGCATTTCCCCCTCCAACAATTGGGCTCTGCACGCAGCACAGAGTCTGATCGTGTTTCTCTCTACCTCTTCCCTCTATGTGTGCTTTCTCTCTCTCAAATAAATAAATCTTTAAAAAAATATTTTCTTAGATAGCTTTAAAAATAAGCTGCATGTTTTACATTAAAAGTTTTCTGTTCTTGGGCTCTATGCTCAGTGGGGAGTCTCTTGAGATTCTCTCTCTCTCTCTCTCTCTCTGTCCCTCCCCCCCAAAATAAAATAAAATAAATAAATAAAACCTTGTTTTGATAAATAAATGGAAGTAAATCAGAGGAGACCACGTTTTAAATAGCCCTTTTTTGAGAAACACTTAGGAAACACTCAAATTCTATGAACAGAAACATTTTTGACTTATAAAAAGTTTTCTTAATGTTTGTTGAGATATTATTAGCTGTTCTTTGAGTTAAAATCAAAATATTGAAATCTTTTGGCTATCCCTATATTTCTGTATACATATCTCTGTATCAAGAGATACTAGAAAAACTGTTAAAGCTACACGATTTTTTAATAATGGGGTTAATTAGTCAAGAAAAAGAAACATTTGTGGGATTTCTTACACTAAACTGTGAAGTGACAGGAAAAATAGAAAAAGAGTAATCCAGGGCGCCTGGGTGACTCAGATGGTTAAGCATCTGCCTTCGGCTCAGGTCATGATCCCAGGGTCCTGGGATCAAGTCCCGCATCAGGCTCCCTGCTCCTTGGGAGCCTGCTTCTTCTCCCTCTGCCTCTCTCTCCCTCTCTCTCTCTGTCTCTCATGAATAAATAAATAAAAAATCTTAAAAAAAAAAAGAAAAAGAGTAATCCAGAGAATTCTAATTTTGTTTTAAAAAGGAACAATTAAAAGGCAATTATTTAATTATTATATTAATAGTTATTAACTATTTAAGTGACATATTTGGGAGCTTTAACTGATGATGTAGTAGTTTTTTAAACAAAACATTGTATTTGTTCTGGTAGCTTTGAAGTGGCTTTCTTTTTACCCTCTGTTCCCTTTTTTTCTCTCTCAGCTTTGAAGATGAAATTAAGGGGGGAAAAGTAACTTGTCTAAAAATCTTGTTATTGTAATTTAGGAATCTGATTGAAATTAATCCAAGGATATACATTTACAATTTTGATTGTTTCAGAAAGCAAAGAGAAATAGTCTGTTAATTTATACTGTTAGCTCCAATATAATAAGGCACATTGTATACTAGTATTACAATAAAAGTATTATTTATAGGAATGAAATTATAGAATATTTAGAGCTTCATTAGTTCTTTAAAAGTTGGTTTTTAGCTTTTGAATTCTAGTGAAAAATTAAACCAAATCAGTGCAAAGACTACGATAACAAAAACTTGCAGACCTACCACACAAAATATCTTTTCAAAAAGCTGCACAAAAAGTTAATTAAATTTGTTAATTATATATTACTGTGTTCATGGTTATTTAAAAAAAAATTTCAGCAGTTACTTTTTTTGAACTTAAAAAAAATGCATATATGACGGCGGCATTGTAATTGGTGCCCACTTCTAGTTGATTTATAGTTTTATATGTATCTATGACTTGAGAAGACTGAAATATTTTTTAATTTAGCAACCATTATTATTGTAGCACAGTATTTTTCTCTGTGTTCTTTTAGAGAGTCTACTGCTTCCAGATAAAATAAAATGAAAGGTTTAGGAAGTTTTTGTTTTGTTTCTTACACTGTTGGCCAACTGTTATAAATGGTCAATCCAACATAAACTTCCCTGTGTTATTTTCACTATTATTCAGATAAAAGTTTAGGGATTATTACTTTGAACTTTAAGACCTATTAAAAATGAATCACCATTTTCTTACATCCATAATTGGATCTGCTTACTCCTATATACAGCATAAACTTCACTAGAATTCAAATACTTGAATTCATTTGAATTACAGAAAAAAGGAGGAAGTTTATCTTTATTGTTCACACTGTTTTGTTCTAGTGCCTGGAACAATGATGGGAGGCATACAAAATCTGTTTCTTCAGTGAATAGGAATTAAACCCAAATGTCATATAATAACCTGGAAAGACAGTACCTTAAATATATTTCTTTAATAAAGCAACAGGTTTTTCATTAGAGTATTAAAAGTCAAATTAGAATAGCAAGGCTTTCTGAAAATGACCAACAGTCATATTTGATAGAATCAGCATATTTTTTATTCCTAGGCATTAATGATTATAGCTTTTCTCATTTAACATCATTTTACTAATTACATACTCAAATATAAGGAGTTTTCACAAATTACTATATTTGTGTTAAAACATGTATTTCACAAGTTCCATGTGTATAATTCTTCAGGCTTGGATCCAGATCTTGGCTTTGTAGATATATATGTATATATGTGAGACCTTTGACTAAATTCCTTAATAAGTAAGGTTAAGGGAAACGATGCATATTAAAATCCTGACTCAGTAATTGTTTGCATAGTTTATATGAAATTAG